CGCCCCACATCACACAGCTACTAACAGAGAGAGAATGCAACGCCAGACAATGCGATTCACCTGTGCTCACCTCCTGCCAGCTTCCACCTCTCAGCTTGTAACTGAGCTAAGCTGGTTTCAAATCGAGGTGGTCAATTTCCAGGGCATACAGTTTTATCTGAATAATCAAATTATTATTGTCAAACTGCCTCCAACCCTCTGGGCCACTCGGTGACTACCTTCTGAAGAACAACTGCCCTTCCTCCTGCAGGAGGGCAAGATTACACACGATCATGTTTTTGGGATGTTCTTATCAAGGCACTACGTGGAAGGGTAATTTTATACGTCAGCACAACTGTCTTCCTAAGATTCGAAAGAGCCTGGAGAAGTAAAGTCTCTAAATGCAAGAATCTCCATTAGTAGGCTTGACTGAATACCAATTCCACACAAAGCAGACATTTTGTGATTTGATATAGAAGAAGAAAAAAGAAATCAGACAGAACTTAGCTTTTCTCAGCTCTAGTGCCCCTGGCTGTTTTGAGACTCGGTTATCCTTTTGGTTTTACTAGTGATGCTTGCCTTGATGAAAGACACATTAGAAATAAATGACCTTATTGTAAATCTTGGGACAAGGTGAGGAGGAAAAGCTGTTATCAACCCAGCGCTTGTGACTTTTCAAAGAGCACTGTTTCTACGTGCTGGGAAAAAAGTTTAAAGACAGTATACACTTAAGTGTTAGAAATGGTCTTACCAAGATAAGATAGTCAAGCTGCTAACCAGAGCTCTCCCTCCTTATGACTCAGCTACTGATAAAAGTGATTCAGCCAGAAACTGTCTTATGATTTAACCATCTTAGGAGTTATAGATCATCGTTGCGACAGGCCTGCTCTGATGGAGAGAATAGCAGGAAAGTGGCAAAAAAGAAAAAAACGAGCTTGCGTTACAGATCAGAACCATCAGAAGCAACCCTAAAGATGTCCGCTGCCTTTTACTTCTTCCCAGACAGGAGCTCCAGGAACCAGGCAACCAAGCTACGGTCAATAACTACCACTGAACACTGGCACCCGCACTGATCTTAACCATCCCAAGGTCGGAAAGAAACACAAATAGAGACTATTTTGACTTGGGATCTAGGATGGAAGAGAGGCGGTTATTGGTGAAATCTTTCATTCAAAAGATCTCTTAAATAACCCTCCTGTGGAGGAAAGATTTAGATCAAGTAGAAGGCAGGCCTGTCTAAACATTTGGGTGAGAGAAGGAAAAAAAATCAGAATGTGGATAAAGGCATAAGGTCTGTGGATTGCTGGTGATCTGTAAGGTAGGGAAGGGGTGATGCCAAGCTATCTCGGTCCTAACGCCCCCTGGGGGTAACTCAAGTTTCTGACTGTTTACTAAGTGGTGAAGGAATGAACGTGAGGGAATGTTGAGGGCATATGTAGAGGTAGGTAATGAGAACACTTTATTCTGGTCCAATAAACATGCATAAGGATTTCAGATTCTTTCAGAAAATAACCTGGGGGTGAGGGGGAGATGTTGTTGATAAGACAAACATCAGTACGTTGGGGTACGTTCCCTGTCACCACGAGGTGGAGGTTTTGGATTGTGACCACAGGACTTTAAAGGACAACAGACTTGAGTTCTCATCCCAGTCAAACACTTCTGAAGCCCTTGCTTCATCTCAACATGGAAGGTGACACATTTCCAGCAACCACAAGGTTGGAAGCAATATTTAGAAACTCTGTATGAGCTCGGTTGATGTTACTTGGGCCAAAATCAAGAAAAACAAAGACTCTTAACTGACTGGGGCCATCCCACAATCTAAGTCTGTTCCCATGAGGAGACCCTCCGTGATCACGGGTGAGGTGCAGCTTTCAGGAATTTTGTAAGCTCAACCTCTGACACAAATCTTTAATGCTTTTCTAGCAGTCATGCCCAAGATGGGACAACCACTTCATGCATCTCCCCACATCTACACAGCCAGCGTGCAGACTGCAACAGGCTGGGACCTTTGCGGAACCGGCTCAGCTGAGGAAGAAAGGAGGCAGGTCTCAAAGCAAGCTCTGGTGCCATTGCTTTCACAGGAATTGCACTGAATCTGATCGATTTTGGTCATACTGACATCTTTTTTTCTCTTTGGAGGGGGTGACTAGTCTTATTTATTTATTTAATGGAGGTACTGGGGATTAAACCCAGGACCTCGTGCATGCTAGGCATGAGCTCTACCACTGAGCTGTAGCCTCCCAAAGACCCCATTCCCAACTACAACATTATACTTCCTGCCTTGAATGTTCAGTTGGTGGGACGAAAGGCCACAAATGGGAACATACTGACCTTAAGTAAGAGGGAACAGGACCCTCCGGTCTCTTCTTAATGGCGCATGGGATGAGGTTAGTGATGGGAGAACTAGTAAAGCAAAAAGTA